AAAAAAAAAAAAAAAACTGTTGAAGATTGATTTTGTCATCTTCCTTCTTCACTCCAGGCCTGTAATTACTCTGGTGCTCCATCTCAGTGTATGGTACCCAGGTTAGAGACCTCACTCAAACCTCACTCCAGGCCTGTAATTACTCTGGTGCTCCCATCTCAGTGTATGGTACCCAGGTTAGAGACCTCACTTAAACCTCAGTCCTCTTTTATACTAATTCCCTTGCTCATTCTTTTCTTGAGAGGAGCAAATGAAATAAATATTCGGCAATGTCAGCTGTTACTGCCTTTGCATGGCCAACTCGTGGTTTAACAAAACCTTCCTTAAGCAGCTCTCACAACCATGCAATGCAACCTGTTCTCAACACTTCTGATAGTTCCTCTACCATTAAATAGATCAGAGTTTTTCTGTAATTATTGTCTTAAATTTTGTCTTCCCTATGAGGAGACAAACTCCAAGAAGGTGTGGTGTGTGCCCTTCTTTCCTATTCACATGTCATCTCCAGTATCTTGATGTCCGGTGGATATCTGCTGAATGAATGAATGTTTGGAAAATCAGCGAGCTCCCCGTAAATAAAAATCTAAAGTGGGATGCAATGGTTACCTGTTGAGGAAGTTAGAGCAGAGATTCATGCAATAGTGAAAAGTTGTTATTAATGCTCTTTTTGTTTTTCATCAATGTTTAGTTTTCATCCACAAATACATACATTCTTATCTTTTTTCCAAATGACAGGGACTTTTTGTAATAAAATCAAACATTAAAATCAGAAAGGATACTTACTTACCTTAGCCATAATGTCTGCATAAGCCATGTATAAAAAATCTTCCTCCAGTTTGCTATGGAAAGCAAGTAAACAACCATCAATTTTAAAGTAGAAGGCTAATCATATGTAAAGAGATCATCAATGCATAAAATAATCTTTTTTCTAAGAAGTACACCTTTTAAGCACTAAAGGAACACAAATCAGAGACAACAGTAATCACTCAGGAATATTCTAGAATCAGAAAGCAAATATATCAGGGTTCCTAAACTGCCATCCCATCTTACCTCAAAGAAGGGCCTTCAATTCTCAGAGAATAAGTGATCTTTTGATTTACACCCAAATGTAATAACTTTAATTTTCTTCAGACTACAAAATTTGAAACAAGCAAATTTTAATGAGGCTCAGGAGTGAAATTTGACAAGCGATGGAGAGACTCCCCAAATTACTATGTTACGGCTAAAACATAAGATGACCATAACGATGCATCTTAAAAATTAAGAAAGGTCAGAATATGCTTATGATTGCCTTTTCACAAGTATGGAAACTTTAATGCATAAAAAAATACCTAAAATTTTCAAGGTTATTTTAGCAGTTTTAAACTTGAGCCATGAGAAAAATTCACTTAGGAGAAATACCTCATTACCTGACAATGCCAGACAGAGTTGCTTTATGCTTAGGGATGAGATGATTTTGTTAGTTAAAAAATAATGAGAGAGAGAGAGAGAGAGGGAGGGAAATAGTGAGAGAAAGATGGATCACAACAGCTAAGAGGGAGAAATGTATACCGTTATGGCATGCAAAGAGGTCAAATGAACTCTTCAGAAGTGGTGAGAAAATTTATGCAGATATGGGTTGAACATCAAATTATCTTCCAGGTTCTGCAGGGAGTGGGTGAGGCACCTGGGAAAGCGGGATTTCTTTCACCTGACAGATCAATGTGCCATAAGCTCAGCAAGGTCCTCTCCACACAGCCAACCCAGGCAGTGCACCTGCTCTGGGCAGCTGCTGAGCACACTGATCATTGGGCCCAACAGTGCCTTTAACTCCATAGAGGGCGCCCCCTGTGGCTTTGGTAAATTTGTCTGACTGAGACCACAGAAGGCTTCAAAAAAAATAACAAAGAAATGGGCAATGCCCTTAACATAGATCAGAGCTATTTCCAAGTTGAAATGATGGCTCACCCAGCCCCTAAAGGTGACCCAAGACCCACCAAACAATATACCATGTACCCAGGAAACGTTGGGTCACCATCAGCGTCCACACGTTCCTGACACTGGATAATGATTTGTTTTCTTTTTCTTTTTTGGGTTTTATTTATAACGGCTGTTTATGATGGAGTGGAACACCATTTCTAAGAAAAACCAGAATCAACTAAATCAGCTAGTCGCAAACTTGTGAAGGAAAACTAGAACTCATAGGTAGGTACTAACGCCTAAAATTGGACCAACGTCCACCCATGGCTGCAGGGCAGACAGGTCACATTTGAACAACTCTGTCCTCCAACAAGAACCAGATGAGACTGGAACACGAGTACACGAAGCACAGAATACTCAGACATGAGTTTCCATCTTTCTCCTCTACTTCCATCTGAACCCTCCCAACCATACCATTTCTCGGTCAAAGCCGTTCGGCTAAACAGAAGGATCAGCTGATGCAACGGGTCCACTCTCTTAGCGCCTTCATCTTCTTCCGGAGGTTCGGCCCCAGGTTTCTATAAAAAAGTCAAGTTTGCAAAATTTCACGTTGGAAAGAAATGTTCACTCAGATCCAGGACCAATTTCCTGTTGTTGTTGTGTGTGGACTTTACATGCATGATACAAGCTCTATATGTATTTGTATGGAAGTGTGAATGTATGCATGTGTGTTGTGTGTATATAAGATAGATAATACAATATATGTAACATGAATGTAATAGGTGTTAACACGGGTCACTAGGAAGGTTTGGAGACAGACTATGTTATGGTCCATTCTAGCCCTTTATATCTGGAAACACAGTCACCAGCGTCCTTTCTGATTTAAGCCTGCAAGGTTCACCTTGCTGGACTTACTGGTGTTGCTGGGGGGACTTCCTTTGTTTCCATCCATGCAAATTTTATGTTTCTTGATTTTTGTGTATCTTAAAAATTCCATCATGACCCCCATATACCTATTACATTATCAATGAAAAACTATGCAGCTTAAAACAGATATTTAATAATTTGACCAAAAAGCTTATAGGCAGGAATAACTTAAATTATTTTATTTTATTTTATTTTGGGAGAGCCAGAGTCTCACTTTATTGCCCTCGGTAGAGTGCCATGGTGTCACACAGCTCACAGCAACCTCCAACTCCTGGGCTTAGGTGATTTTCTTGCCTCAGCCTCCCGAGTAGCTGGGACTACAGGCTCCCACCACAATGCCCAGCTATTTTTTTGTTGCAGTTCAGCCAGGGCCGAGTTTGAACCCGCCACTCTCAGTATATGGGGCCAGTGCACTACTCACTGAGCCACAGGCACCGTCCAACTTAAATAATTTTAAAATCCTGAATATCATTCTTATAAGCAGAATTATAACCATCTGAGAGTATATTTGCTAGACAAATCTTAGCATTACAGAGGGCTCAATTTAACAAATATTTGGAATAAAATGCTGTCACCCAAGTATAAAAATTTAGTCCACATAACAATGCAAACTGCCTTTCAAGTGGAACATTCTTTTTGCCTACACAAAGAATGACAAGCAGAGAATACTAAATGAGCTAATTCTTGAACCACTGATATATATATATTTTTTTCATTTTCAGATACTTTTAAAACTTAACACTACTTTAATAGTGAGGAACATTATTAAAAATTTATACTGATGGCAAAATTAACTAATCCCGATTTTTGTTGCATGATTTAATGAGTTTTATATATCCGACTTACTCATTCTGACTGATTTTCTCTATGTATGGTGTCTTTTCTTAGTTTAAGACTTAATGTTGTACCACCAAATTTGCATCACCAAATTTTTACAAGGCCTTCAAATATTCTCTATGTGTTTTGATTTTTAAAGAAAAATAAAATTCATCTTAAAAATATGGGGACATTCAGGTTGGTATGCAATAACTGGGTGAGCTTATCCATTACCTTCTCTAATAATCTGTAAATTTAAAAAATAACCTTTAGACATGAGACCTTTAGCTTGGGAATCATGACCTCTGCCTCGCCTGTAATGTTCTATGAGAATGACTACAAATTTTCCTGAGAAAATGGCTTGGATCAGATTTTTAAAAGGGGCCCTGACTCAGACCAGATTGCAGGATTGCCCCCCTGTGCTGTGCTCTCAGGATCACAGTCTCCTCTTCAGCACGGTCAGACAACACTCCTACTTCTCATCCACCATATTTACCATGGCGATCTCTTCTGTGTCCTGTCTATCATTATTTGAGCTGTTTCTTTTTAAAAATCAGAAACTTTTTGTTAAGCGTTAGCTTATCTTGGGGGGATAACGTCTTTACATTTCAGCTGTTTATAATTGAACCTGGTTCTAAGAGGTGTTTAAAGATGCTTTGAGGAAGAACCTCGAAGAATAACTGATTCATATTTACCTAATAATAGGTGTGTTATTCATTTTAATTCTGAATTACTTGATGTTGGTGACATCTGGAAATAGGGACAGTGAGTTTCTCCATAAGCACTGAGTGTAGTCACAACTAAGATTTAAAAGGTTCCTAACCTAATGTAATAATGTTTCTTCTTTCAATGGTCTATGATAACTGCTCACATCAACACTGCTGCACCAAGTCCAGACCCTTTTTCATTTTATCACCCCATTAAAAACGTACTGCTAAATCTTCTATCAGCTTATCCTCAAAGTAATGTTCTTCTGTCTCGATCCAAGACTTTTCGTATCCCTGAAGAAAGAGATTGACAGCCCGATGCCTAAAAGATAAGCACAGTTTCAGAAAACGGGTTTACAAAACATAAAAAGGTATTGAGTAGTGCTTTATTCTGGAGTATCTATATACTAAAAAAGATAACATAAACTTTCTGTGCTTGATTTTCCTCCTAAAAGATAATACTTTGCAGCAAATACAGTGAGCTTTCTCAGAACACATCAGCTCCAACCTGAACTCTGGTCAAGCCATGTCTGAGCTTTATAACACTGATCAAGTTAGTCAGCTTTCCCCAGGAAGGTCTCACTTTTCTCATTTGTAAAACAAGGATAACCTCATCTACATCTAAGTTTTGTAAGACTTAGCATGAGATAAAAGATGAAAAGTGTGTTGGACAGGTGTTCATCAGAGAGCAGCAGTGATCCCAGCCAGTGGCTCTTGGTGAGGAATGCAGTAAGTGCCAAAAAAGACTTGCTCTGTGTTCAAGTTCACATCAGAAACCAGCCCTGGGGATTCCACAACAGAACACACTAAGCGACCTTTATGGGATTGTATAGCCAGAGATTAAACCCTGGACCCCTGATCATAAATGGCCAGCTATGAGGTAAAAGATCAGTGAAGACTAGAAGAAACAGTAAAACTCAACATGGAGCTAATGACAGATGTGAACAAGAGAGAAACGAATCTTATGGCAATCAGGGAGCATCACAAGAGTATCAAACGTGCCAGAATGAGACGGGGGTAAGTGCTTCTTACGTCCTGAGATCCCTGGAGTTGGGAAGCTGAGCTTAATAATAATACAAGTGGGCTGAGGACTCAGGAGACATGACACACAGGTGCAGGACGGGCCTTGAAAACCAAGTGGAGGAAGTGACAAAGTGGCTGGAATGGCTAGAAACCACCATCAATTCCTACACGTGAAAAAGGCATGCCAAAGGATGAGTTCAGTCTTCTGGGCACACCAGACTCCCCTGTGCAGCTTTAAACAGCACACATGCCAGGCTCTCGTAGAAATTCTCATCAATAAGTTGAGTCCTGATTATTGTTATTATTATTATTTTTTTTTTTTAGAGATAGACACTTTATTGCCCTTGGTAGAGTGCCATGGAGTCACAGCTCACAGCATCCTCCAACTCCTGGGCTTAGGCGATTCGCTTGTCTCAGCCTCCCAAGTAGCTGGGACTACAGGTGCCCACCACAATGCTTGGCTATTTTTTGTTGCAGTTTGGCCGGGGCCAGGTTTGAACCCACCACTCTTGGTATATGGGGCTGGTGCCCTACTCACTGAACCACAGGCGCTACCCAAGGCCTGATTATTTTTTAAGTGCATTTAAGCATATCTCTTAAAAGTGTCAGGCTGAAGAACCCCTGGAATAAGGAATATCATTTTGAAAATGGCACACTAGAGAGAATGGATGCTCTCTGATGCCAGAGAGAGAGAACTCTGTGGCCCTGTAGACGTGCATTTCAAATCCACTGCCATCAACTTGGTACAAGGCAAAGAACCAGTGACTCTCACAGGTGGCTCTGGAGGGAAGGGGGGGGTGTGAAGTCATTCAAAGGAAAAGTGGTAAGACCTGGAGAATGACCGTATAGGAGTGACCCGCAAAGGAATGAGAAGATGAATTCAGCTAATATTCTATTTGACTAGTCAGCGGCCCTCAAACTTTTTAAATGGGGGGCCAATTCACTGTCCCTCAGACCATTGGTGGGCCAGACTGCAGGCCCCAGGATGAGTCAGCTGCTAAGCAAAACAGGCAGCGGCGGCAAAAACACCCGGCAGGCCAATAAATGTCCTAGGCAGGTTGCATATGGCCCGCGGGCCATAGTTTGAGGACTCCTCGTCTAGACGGTGATACCATAATTGTGTCAGAGAATTAGAAGAAGCACATGGTTTGAGGACTCCATGTGTGCGACATGATTGCAGGGAATCCAGCTGCCTTAGCAAAAGAGAGAACATGATGTTCTCCTGGTTTTTTGTTTGTTTTTCCCCCTGCCTTATATTCATTCACTCCAACATGCACCAAATGTCAGTGTGCCAGTCACTTTTCCCAATGCTGAAATTATAGAAGAGAACAAAACTCTGAAGAATCTCAAAGTCTGAATCAGAGAAATTGCCCCAACACTGTTGGAAATGGCTCCAACTATAGGTATGTATAAGTGTCTTGGAAACGGAGGAGGAAGCCTTCAGCTTGTAAGGAGTCCAAGGACGTGGCTTGGTCCGAAATGTTCCCCAAAAAGAGATGTAGCTAAGCTGAGTCCTGATTGACAGACCCAGAAATGATGCAAGGTGTATGGATTTCAGAGTGGGAAAGAGCACAGTTTCTTAGAAGAACTGCAGGAAGGCAGAAATGGTACCCAGGCCATCCAGCCGGACTTAAATATATCAGGTCAATTCTCTGTTAACAAGTTGTGTGCTGTATCTCCAAGAGAAAGCGGAGGGCCTGTCAAATTTACTTACATCATTTCCCAGAGTCAGTCCCATAACATAACAGCTCCTTAACCCAAATGCTGATAACTATAAAAACAATAGCAATCACTAACAGTTACTGTGACATAAACACAGTAGGTCACTTCTAAGCATTCTGTGAACATCCGTCCGTCAACCCAGAACATGATCTGAAGGTGAGAGGCCGGGAGCCAAATTAAGGAAAGTGTGACACTGAAGATGAATTCCTAATTACTCTGTGTGGCCTCATGTATGTGACCAGACAGATAATCCTCAGCACGTGAGTCATTTAAGGATAACACTGCAGATCACAGGTCTCCGAAAATACCCAACAAAATTAGTCAAATATTACACAAGAAGAACCCACTGATCTGTTCTGCCCGTCTTAGACTAGGTACTGTAAATCCCAGGTACCTTGTCACTTATAGGGGAGAAACAACTTTAATCTATCATAAATATTATAAACTTTCTGACCTTGGCAGATTATATAAGGGCGCCATTCGGAAGCAGGCCACGACTGCCCTCTTCCTCTGTTTAGAGAGCAGCTTGTGCCAAACAGCCTTTTTAGACCTCTGAGGGTGCTCCACCTGGAACAGAAGGACACAAATAAATAAATATCTATATCCCAGTTGACCCTCAAACAGACACTATTAAACAGCTGCACCTTGTAAGTAACTTGCATTTGGAATCCCGATTTCAAAAATACCATAAAATCATTATGGCAAAATCTGTATCCTAAGAGTTACCCAGAGCTAGAGTTTAGATAGTGTTAAAGGCTACATCATTTCCTCAGTAAAAAGATCCTATTTTCCCAATAGTGTGTATTTCAGAAGCTGTGTCATCTCCACCACGGAAGAAATATAAACCACTCTATATAAAATCACGATGCCTCCCTCTCAAACTTCTCTCTGTTTCTTTAGGGTTCCTTATGGTTCTCAAACATCTTTTCTGCCCATTCCGAAAAAATTACCCTATTCTTATTTATGTAGCCATTCTAATCAAGTTTATCATAAGAGCTACAGCAATAAACTCAGATAGAGTCAAAATTCTAATGAAAATCTACTATTCCTTAGTAGAACAGAATGAAGAGATGACAGGGCTTGTGAACACAGTATTAGGAGTAAGAGGAGGTAATTTTGCAAAAATGTTAACATGTACCACGATTTTGTTAGATAACGACAAATGAGAATTCAGAAGTTGTAATAAAGAAGCAAGCAAGCTATGTATTTAACTAATGGTATTTGTAACTCTAGAAGATAAAGAGATCAATTATAAGGATTAGAAAGTAACAGATCCCAACACAGGATTCTAAATGAATTAGTAATCTCTAGGCAATTGGTCACTGTACTTCCCAGACTGTAATATCTCCAGTTCGTATTTTTAGATTTCTGAAAGAAATAAAAATGTTCTGTTAGCTAAAAAAGCAAAACCAAATTTATGACTCTTAGCAGTAGAGGATCAAAATAGAAATGTAATAGTGACTAAAGGAAATACTAACGGTGTTGAGACAATAGTGGTTTAGAGATTTTAACAAATTTTTCAATCAAAAAGCACTTCTATCTGGGACCCTTTTCTTCCCATAGGATCGATAAACATATTTTGGACAAATACCCGCTTCGGTTTTCTTGCTGATGAGTGTATTAAGTGAAAAAAAAAAAAAAAAAAAACAATTAGTTACCAAGTTTCAACATGGTAGATAAAAACAGAATAATAGTGTTATTTATTAGATCCAACACATTTCAATCTGAAGTTGTGGTTGGAGATCCGAATCTGTAAATGGGAACTTTTTATGTATAGACAGCACAGGTGACAGTGAACAAACACACATTAAGAGCCCAGGCACTGAATGTTCAGTAAAGAACACAGCAGGAAACGTTCCCACCATCATGAAGCTTCTCACTTGGCCGGTCAATTTATCATACGTTAAAGGCATATATAGTGGACTTTCCTATAAGTCGAGTAAACAGTTATCTGTAAGACCTGTGATCTGAGAGTGAACACCAAGATGTACCTTGAAACTGCCTGACCATCTTGATGTGGTCAGATTTTGGTTAATATATCTAAATTCATTCCAACAAATCTAGATATGGGTATGGAAACCAGGAAGAATTACAAACTTATGACAGAGGAATGCTGCCAGAAATAGCCATCTAGTAGCCTTTTAATTAACAATTAATAATCTTCTTAAATATCTACAGATGGATATAATTCTGGAAACACAACTCTATGATTTTATATAAATTACTTAAAATGGCATTACCGTGAGCCTGGTCATCTGCTGATTGAATTTATTTGATATTTCCTGAGAATATTATAAGGGTAAGGAACCTTGCAGCCTGGGGCCATACGTGGCCTTCTGGATCCTTGAGTCCCATCTTTTGACTGAATCCAAATTTTACAGAACAAATAAAGGGAATTTTTTTTTTCTCTGTGAAGTTTGAATTTGGTTGAGTGGCTTTCCTTGGGGATCTGGAGGCCACAGGTTCCGGACCCTTACGTGGAGCATTTGAGTAAGAAGGAAATTAAAAAGATCCTACATCGGATAACAGCCTTATGTTATTTAACTAGCCAGGGCAGGGGGAGGAGCACAGATACTATAAAACAGGAATCCTAGAAAAATGTTTACAATTGCTATATTAATATGTTCAATATGGCCACAGGAGATACAAAGTTAAAAACTGTGTTTCAAAACATTGAGGTGGCAAACTTCCTGAGATGTCTCAGGTCATCCTGTTATTGTGTGTTCCTTATAAGATAACCAGGTCAGGCAGACACCATCATAGGGCCCAGTGACAGGTCACAGCCCTGGGTCCACAGGGAGCTCCTTCACACTGGGGTCATTTGCTGAATGCACTTCGTGAGAAGTCTCTGCAGTGCAGGAATTTCCTAAGCCAGAGGGTCCCTTTTATAAAAATAAGACCCTCTGATTGATAATGCTTCAAATATTACCATCTAACAGCCATTTAATTAACAATTAATAATCTTCTTAAATATCTACACATGGATATAATTCTGAAAACACAACTCTATGACATTTATAAATCACTTACATTGGCTATTGTTTTGGAAATCCTTGTCCAAATAAGAAACATTAAACACACACTGAGTTTTGTAATGTAACACAGGATACAACTGGAAAATTATCTAAAAACACTTTCCTCATGTGAGTTTAATATCAAGGCATTGCTTTTCTCCAAATGTAATTTGTTCCTGATCTCAAACAAAATTACTTTAAGAGTACCTCTAGTAAAAGGAAAGATTAAGCAAGTGATAAAAAAAGAAAACACTTGAAATATTCAACCAGTAAATGAGAATATCTCCAACACATTGTTCTGGAAAATAATGAAAGTAGTATCGGCATAAAATATTTGAAATCAAGTATAACTCTTGAGTTTTTTGTTAGAATGATTTAGAATTAAGTAATCTGGATAACTGTAGAAATATTTTGAAAAAGACAATAAGACAATGGCCTTAATCTCCCCAAATTCATTATTACATATTGTTACAAAAATTATAAGCCCTTGTGTTTATTGGCTACTAAGTACAACTGGTTCGCATATCTTTATGGCAAATACGCTGAACATATGTTTTCTGACCTATAGTTAATAAATTAACACACATCCTCTTTTTAAAAATGTTCTATGTGGTCAAGGCAAATATGATGAAATCAATACAGAATCTGACCTGCTCGAGGTGAAAAAGCACGTTTGCTATGTCCAATACTCTTTCTACCGTCTTCTCCGGATCTGCAGGATCATCAGTCCTGTTTGGCAAGTCTTTGTATAGAGCCATCTGCCATCTAATCGCAGGGTCCTCCAACTGCAGAACAAAGAGAAATGTGTGTAAAATACCAGGTTGCAATCTAAAAAGGAGAAGAATGGCTCCAGTGATATTTATTGAATGGATCCCAGTGTTAAAACACTATGCAGAACCAGCCTGAGCAGCATAGTAAGACCTCATGTCTACAAAAAAATTAAAAAAAAAATTAGCAGAGTGTGGTGGCTCATGACTGCAGTGGCAGCTACGCAGGAGGCTGAGGCAGGAGGATCGCTTGAGCACAGGCTTGAGCACAGGTTGCCCTGAACTCTAGCTGGGGCAACAGAGGGAAAAACTGTATCCAGAAAAAAGAAAAACTCTACGCAGGAGGCAGAAGTTCAAACTAATGTACCACGGTGACTACAGTTAATAATATTGTATAGCATACTGAAATTTTGCCAAGAGAGTGGATTTCAGAGGCTCCTCGGGAGATGGCTATGTTAATATGCTGAACTACAGCACATTTCACTAGGAAGTGTACATCAGAACATCAGGTTGTGTACCTTAAATATATGCAATTAAAAAAAGCCAAGATACAAAAGAATACTATGCAGAGAGGCAGATAAGGTCCCTGCACTCATGAAATTCATCATCGAGTGGGGAAGACAGACATTGAAGAAACATCCCACTTGGGGTGAGTGCTACTGGAAAGAAATCTCAAGGACCGCGAGATTTGACCTACTTTGCAGGTGGCTGGGAAGATCTCCTGAAACAGTGGGGTGGTGACGAGGGCTTCTGGGTGAGTTGGAGACAGTCAGGAAAAGGAAAGGCGTACAGCCACCCTGGACCTTACTCTCCTCACTCACACTCTGACTAGTGAATGATTTCCATGTTTGCTATTACAGGCACTGGAACAGGATCACATTGACCTATAAATGCAGGGACTTTACAACAGGTCTTGCTCTCACTGAAACAGAATACTCTGGGGTCTTTGAAATCATACTCTCATCCTTAAAGAGTATACCCATTTGACTTTTTAATGTCGTCAAATTTCCTTGGTGAAATACCTATCTGAAGTGTCACGCTTTTTAGGCAGAGTATGAAGAGTCACAAAGCTGACAAATACAAGTGTCTCAACAGGGAGCATAGCATGTCACTTCAAAGAAATTAGGAAGGGTGAGTGTGTCACTAAAAAACAGGCAAAGTGCCTATGGCTCAACAGAGTAGGGCGCTGGCCCCACATGCCGGAGGTAGCAGGTTCAAACCCAGCCCCAGCCAAAAACTGCAAGAAAAAAAAAAGGAAAAACCTGGCAAAGCAATCCACTTCTCCTTCTCTTCTGCTTAATAATCTCCATTTGAAAATGGAAGACTGCATGTTTTAAAGCAGAAATGGATACGTCTAAAACTTCAGAATTCCTAGCCCGAGAAAGCATAGTTGGAGATATCAAAAATAACAGAGCAGCGCCTGTGGCTCAGTGAGTAGGGTGCCACCCCCATATTACAAGGGTGGCAGGTTAGAGCCCGGCCCTGGCCAAACTGCAAGAAAAAAAAAATAGCTGGGTGTTGTGGCAGGCACCTGTAGTCCCAGCTACTCGGGAGACTGAGGCAAGAGAATCACTTAAGCCCAGGAGCCTGGAGGTTGCCGTGAGCTGTGATGCCACGGCACTCTACCAAGGGCCACATAGTGAGACTCTGTCTTTAAAAAAAAATAAAATAAAATAATTTTTCTCTACAGGCAAACAGAGAGAGAGCTTCATACGTGAATAACTTGTACACAGCACGTCCTTTGGTAAAATCACACGCTCTCCTCCGTATACTGTTTCCACAAGCAGGCAATACATCGTACCTCTAGATTTCAAACTGCATTTTGAGTTCTGGTTAATATGTAAATATATTGAATAAAGTAGAATCTTTACTTTCTGTGACATAAAATTACTCCTCCAGCCCCAAGATGACCAGTCCTACAATCTTAAGATAATATATTCAAGGAGGAACTAGGAACAAAAGAACTAATTTTTTTGAAGTCCGTGCAGCTCCCTAATAGGCGTGCTGAACCCCTAGCACAAAAATGGACAGAATAAAATTTCAGGATAAACATATATTCATTGACTCTTTATTTTCGTTTCCTTTTTTGCTTTTCCCTTTCTCCCTCTCTTCCCAATACATAATCTAAATTGTCCAAAGTGTTCCTCTAAGTGACCTTTAGAATATAATGGAAGAATTTCTTTCTGCTTATCCAAGTCATAACCATCTTTATTTGAGCCTTTCCTGAGACTAGTACAGACCCCTTCTTATGAGGTATTGAATATTTCCTGTCCCTAATTAAGTAGCGACTGTACCAGGTCAGTGGTTCTCCAAATGTGGTCTGCGGTCCCCTGGGGATCCCCAATACCCGTTCTGGGGATACGTAATCTCCTGAAACACCCAGGTATGTAAAAATACTTAGTGCCTCTCCCCAAAGGGGAAAAATGTTTGTAGTGTAAACTCTTTGCTTGAGGTTCGACCGGAGGCTTTATGAACATTTTACAAAATGTTCAAACCCTTTTGGCTATGTGAAAAGAGAACATATTCTAATAGGAATTGATCTCCTGCACCGGGAGAGGGATTGCCGGACGTATGAGTGAGGACATGTTAAAATTCACATGACATTTCCACTAGATATGTGTGCACAGTAAATATTGTGAAAGTGTGTCTGGCCTTTATACCACACTCCATGTAAAAGAATATGGGTTGCCTCTTTGGAAAGAGACATTTTAATACCCAGAAAGGCAGGAATTCATTATATGGTTACTACTTTTTGACATTTGAACATTTTCATAATTAAAAAAAAAATTCTTGGAAGGGACACCATAATAGACGCAAATAAGCTGCATCAACATAATAGTTTGACCTCTTAAATTACATGATGGTTTCTATAAACAATGAATTATTTATTCTCTGAAATGAATGAAAAATTGTCCAAATAATGGTAACTGCTCACTGCACTGTGAAAAGTACAATTCTTTCACACACCATTAAATACTAGATGTTATACTGGTTTTATCTATATTTCTTTTCGTTAATATATATCCACTCTGTGGGTAAACTTATTTGCCTCTATTACCACGATTCTTGATATCTCTTTATAGTGATGACTTTTAAATATATGTATTTAATTCCTGAGCCCTCGGTATAAAATTCAATTTCTCAGAGATACCTGGTTCTGTGTCCAGATGAGCTTCAAACCAAGCTGTACAAATAATATATCCCATCTTTATTTCCACTGGTGACACTCTCCCCCTTGTTCGACTATCTGGTCTATAAAAATGTATATAATTTATTATTTGGGGGAGATATTAATACAAAAGGCTTTGCAAGTAAGATAATGAGTGATTAGGATAATATAGTTTCATGACTTTAATGGCTAAAGTAACATCATCTGTAGCATTATTCTAAAGAGGAATTAACTAACTTATAGATACTAAACGTGCTTTAAGATTAAACATGGGCTTACCTTGCCTTGTAAATGAATATTACTCCGGATTATATCTCGCACTTCATCCTCCGTATCTTTCTGTCAAGAAATATATGTTATCTAAAGAGATCAAGTTTCAAAAGTCAACAGAAGCAACGCACACCTCTTTCCAAATAGTGTATGTGTGGCAAACACCTTCATCAAAGTTCGTGCCACAAATTTGGGACATTCTCCTTCAGATGATTTCTTGATACTGCTACAGGCTGAAACACAACAACCCACTCTAGCTCCATAGCAAGTACCTTGGATCTCAGTGGGATTAAGTTTGCATTTCATAAGGAGGAAGGGTGGGGCTCGGCACCCACAGCACAGTGGTTACAGCACCGGCCATATACACTGAAGTTGGCGGGTTCGAACCTGACCCAGGCCTGCTAAACATCAGTGACAACAGCAACAAAAAAATATAGCCGGGCACTGTGGCAGGCGCCTGTAGTCCCAGCCACTTGGGAGGCTGAGGCAAGAGAATCACTTAAGCCCAGGAGTTTGAGGTTGCTGTGAGCTGTGATGCCATAGCACTCTACCAAGGGTGACATAGTGAGACTCTGTCTCAAAAAACAAAAATAAAAACAAAAAACAAACAAAAAAAAAACATAAAGAGAAAGGGCTCAAAGGCAAGTATTGTCTCGGCATTCTTCCAAATCTCCAGAGTCATTTTAACCCTTATTGATGTTCTCCAGGGTCTGGTAAGGAAGGAGCACACACGTGAGACTCAAGTGTTACAGAGCGGCCAGGAGAGCTGCATCAAGGCCCCAGTCCCCCAATCTCCCCTCAGTTCACTCCTCTGAATGTGTCAAACTCTGCACATCAGGAGAGACGCTTCCGTGATTCTCCATGAATTGGGAATAGAGAGAATACACCTTCCCGTCTGCATAAACATAAAATAGTAATTCCAATTTGGATTTTTGAAATCCTCGTCTGCATAGCTATAAAAAGGAAAAAACAGGGGCGGTGCCTGTGGCTCAAAGGAGTAGGGCACCAGCCCCATGTACTGGAGGTGGCAGGTTCAAACCCGGCCCTGGCCAAAAATGGCAACAAAACAAAACAAAACAAAAAAAACAAAAGACCTAAAGAAATCTTAAAAAGTTAAATCTCGAAGCTTGCAGAGGAAAACAGTGGCTGATTTAAAAGTCAACACCTTATCTAACCACAATCGGCACAATATATTACACTTCTAACATTGAAAAATCACCCTTCTTAAATGTCAATATATCTCTCATCACAAATTCTAGACAGGAGTTCATGTGAATTCCCTTTTCCCCCCACTATCAGAGGTTTGTTTGTGTCTTTTCTGTTTGGTTCTTGAATGTGCCCTGGAAGTGATTAACATAACTTAGAAATAAAAATGGCCTTTAAAAAAAAAGTCTGCAGTCTTTGAATCCATCCTGAGGCCTGTGCAGGAAAACTGCTTGGTAAAACATTGAATGCAAATGAAATATTGACACTGGGGAATGAGATGAAGCAGTAGCACGGCAGAGAGTCAGGAGGCCGGATGATCATTACTGGGCTGAAAGGAGACTCACCAGACTAAATCGATTTTTGGCCAGAGCGATGAGCTCCTGGTCCCCAGGGGCGCAGATGTTCAGCCCAATGGGCAGCAGCCGCTTCAGCGCCGCGACGATCAGAGAGGTCTGCATGGAATACCGGTCCCCTTTACGCTTCATCTTCTTCCTTTCCTGATCAGAAACTGCTGCCTGCGGGACAGAGAGAAGCGCTGGGATGGTGCCTGATTTTCCCACATGTGCCACTCGGAACCTTCTCTAACTTGGCAGTTGCTTGGCCCTCCTCATTTTCCGTGGGTCCCTATTGTTAAAGATCTCACTATTCTGAGAATGATTTTTTCTTCCCCTCTTAGCATCTTTCGCTAATTTTAAGCCCTACTTTTTTAGATCCCTAGGTCATTATAACTCACCGGTATGCATGCCCATGTAATTTTTAAACGGATAAGAACAGACGCTACACTTGATCTTAGCCAAAAGGCCGAGAAGCAATCGTCCAGGTAATTTTTAGAAGGGAAATGAGCAGTGCAATTCTAGGGAAGCAGAAAAATACAAAAAATCCCAAGGGTAATTTCAGATATTGTTTGCTTTCTAATTTTCAAGGGTTATAAGAAAGAAGTTTAAGAATAAAGAGTTTATTATTTTTTTTTTGACAAATGCTGGCTTTGAAATATATATATACACCTATAGTATGGATATGTAATAATACACATACAATCATTATAAAATAGATTTTTCTTTTATATAGTGTGCAACTCGCCTTCCCAGAGCCTTCATCCCTGTCTAGCAGAAAAAGAAATAATATACTAATCAGTATTCTCATAAATATTCAGGACTCTCTAAATAACCAGTTTACACCTGAATGCTGCCACACTACTTCAGGGATCTCTTGTGATGTTTCTGAGACTTACGCTGGTGCCACAGGGTCACCTCCAATGACAGAGTCTAATTTTCACTGGGTGAGGAGGATTCTTTTTCTATTATGAGGGCAAGTTCTAAGGTTAAAATTAAAATAATTGTCACACAGCCGCTACTTTATACACGGTGAATATTTTGTAGCAATAATTCAAACTTTGACTATTTTGTAGCGATAATTCAAACTTGCAACATAGTTTCATGATAATGACATATTGTAATCACCTTGGGAAAGAAGGAAAACAGGATTTGATATACAAATGAGATTGGCTTCATTTGAAAGGTGAACTCTAAGTTTCATAATGTTGAAACTTTTCAGCACAGTGAAACTAATGAAACAATGGAGTTTTAGCAACAATAATAATAGCTTATATGTTATGTTAAAAATATATCATAAAATATATATAATCACATATATCATGTTGATATATCAAACCTATAACTTTCTCAACCTCAGCAGAATCATATTTATTTTCTAAAATGATGTTATTGCATGGATTCCATTTTAATATGTACCAACATGTAAGAGATTATTCTCAGTAAGTTTGTTAGAAAAAGACAGGCTGGATGAATAACTATCTATACTATTAAATTGATTAATCCATGAAAATAATGAATCAATGCTTTAAAATAAGCTTGTTTTCCAAAAATAAACATAACCAAAATGATAAAAAATAATTACCCGAATGGGAATCCATCATCTTAAAAATTAAACAAATTGACACAAATCATGCAAACATACCTCTAGCTAACACTGGTGATTTAGTTTCAGCAAAGCACCTTCCAATATACTAACATCTAAATTTTGTTGGTGTTAGGGTTTTCCTTAATTTTTAATTTGTAAAGTTCTTTCGGTATCTGCCTTTGTATAAGCAGAAGGAGCTTTTACCTGTTTCAATATTTATAAATATTTAAGTGATAATCTAACAAAAACAGTTTAAATAATCACTAAAGGCGACTGTAAATTGCTCAATTTTGAAACACGCTAGACACGTGACTTTGTACCAGGTGACTTCGTACTTGTACAAACAGTAATCCCTCCCTATCCCACGGGTGATCGGGGAAGTGGAAAGAGAAGTCAGTGAGTCTTTGAACATTTATGTGTAATATCCCTGTTATTAAGAAGAAATGAGACCTACAAGGAATCACATTTTCTTGTGTACACACTGATTGGTTTTTTATTTGGTATTTCTTTCCTCCAGCAGACTCTGGAGCTCCATTAGGACATGGCCAAACTTGTTTTGTCCCTTCTTATTCAAAACCTATCACGGGGTACATAGGGTTCTTATTTCTCCATTCTTGTGATGCTTTACTAAGAATAACATGTTCCATCTCCATCCAGGTTACTACAAAGGATGTGAAGTCTCCGTCTATTTTAGTGGCTGAGTAGTATTCCATGGTATACAATGCCACAGCTTGTTAATCCATTCTTCAGTTGGTGGGCATTTTGGCTGTTTCCATATTTTGGCGATTGTAAATTGAGCTGCAATAAACAGTCTAGTGCAAGTGTCCTTGTGATAAAAGGTTTTTTTCTTCTTCTCAGTAGATGCCCAGCAGTGGGATTGCAGGGTCAAATGGGAGGTCTAGCTTGAGTCCTTTGATGATTTTCCACACTGCCTTCCAAAAAATGTTGTATGAGTTTGCAGTCCCACCAGCAGTGTAAAAGTGTTCCCTTCTCTCCACATCCACACCAGCATCTGCAGTTTTGAGACTTTGTGATGTGAGCCATTCTTGCTGGAGTTAGATGATATCTGAGGGTGGTTTTGATTTGCATTTCTCTAATTATTAAGGGATAGGGAGAGCTGAGTAAGGGAAGGAGGGAGGGTGTGAGAGGGTCAAGGGATGTGCCTCACCTTTTGGGGGTGGGACACAAATATAAGAGGGTCCTTATCTAACAAAAGGAATTAATGTGACCTGCTTCTGTGTACCCTCAATGGATTCCCAGCAATTAAAAACAACAACAGCAACAACAACAACAAAAAACCCTAGCACTGGGCCTTGCTCATAAGAGCTGTTCAATAATGTAAACAGAATGGCCAAAGCTACTGAATTTTCATACTATTTTAATCTGTGCCCTAACATTCGGATCAGATATAAATATGTAACAACACGGCTAGTCCATGGGCGTATAGAAGGAGGAAGTGAGATCACCAGACTCCTTTCCCAATCCATCCATCTCTGTCTCTCCCTTCACACACGTAAACAAGACTAACAATTTCACCTAAAATAGGCTTTAATCCAATCAAGGACCAGTAAAAAGGCAAGAAAAACCTCCAGAAGACTATTTATTCTTAAGAGTTCCTATTAGCCTTCAACTAAACAGTTCTAGGGCCAGAAGAAACGGGATATTAGTTTGGCTTCTTCAATCTTTCCTGATGACCCATCGAGAAACGACCCATCTTTCAATTCAAATCCTCACTTCTCTAGGAAATCTTTGGCTACCCTAGCCATTTACTCCTCTAATAAATTCTCCAAGTACTTATCCTGTGTGTCATTGTTAGATAGTCAGTAGCATTTTATACTTTATCATATTTTTAGGATATACAAGTAAAAATTTAATTCATGTTAAAGAGAGAAGAGAAGGGAGAGGAAGAAATGGCAGAGAGCGGAGAGCAGAGAATGAAAGAGGAAGATGGGAGAACATTATCATTTTGTTACTACAACAGTATTAGTTAAAATTTGTTGTGTGCTTATGATCCGTGAGGTACAAAGTATACATTATTCTCATCTTTACAAAGATCCACCAGGGCAAGTATCATGACATTTTCCTTATCTGGACAATGGGGTTTAGGATGAGTCAAGGGATCATAGCTCCAAATGGCAAAGCCAGCCCCTGGTCTGTCTACCTCTCAAGGTTGTGAAGGTCCTACCCCATGGTATGAACAAGGCACACTTTTAATTTTTTCTGTTTATTGCATGGACTTTAAGTACAAATTTACAAAAATATTTCTAACATTCCTACTCTGAAATCACCTACCGAAAAAGAAACCCTCAAAAAAAGAAAAGATTTTTCTCACTCAGCGCCTGTAGCTTGATGAGTAGGGTACCAACCATATACACCGAGGCTGGCGGGTTGGAGCCCAGCCTGGGCCTGCTAAACAACAATGACAACTGCAACAAAAAAATAACCAGGCATTGTAGTGGGCGCCTGTAGTCCCAGCTACTTGGGAGGCTGAGTCAAGAGAATTGCTTAAGCCCAAGAGTTGGAGGTTGCTGTGAGCTGTGACGCCACAGCACTCTATCAAGGGCAACATAATGAGACTCTGTCTCAAAAAATAATAATAATAATATTTTCTTTTATATGTTTTAGCTATAATAATTATAAAATTCATCCTAGTTTTACATGGTAAAGGCTAATGATAACATTTCAATAGGAAATGAAATCTTGAGAAAAAAAAATGAGGTACCATTCCACAAAGCAACAGGAAAATCCACTGTGTTTTTCTGCATCTATAAATAAACACAGAGAATCTGTAATAAATGCTATCTGTGTTTTTAGAACAAGTTATGAAATTAAAAACTTCAGTAATGCTAGCATACAATGCAGCAACACTCTACGTTTTGTGCCACTGCCACGGTGAGTCAGTCCAAGCAAAGTAAAACCAGACCCACCAAAAAGCCTTGATTTGACGACCAAATTTTGAATTCCTTAAAGTCAAGATTTAATTTAACTCATCCATATTAACTGAGTAGCATCTCTGCACTAAGTACTGTCTTGAGCTTTGGAGTTACCAAGTAAATAAGTTTCCTGTCCTTGAAGAACAGACAGTCTAAAGAAGTCGCATAGGAGCTGCAGAACAACAGCCAAGCCCTCTGTCAGAACCGACCAAGGGCCTGGGAGGGGCGGGAAGAGAAAGGTCCTCCGAAGAGAAAGCGCTAGGATGCATTCAGGTCCATCACATGCAAACTGACGATTGTCATTTTTTTTTTCTCACTCTGTCACTCTTGGTAGAGAGCCATGGAATCATCAGAGCTCACAGTGACTTCAAACTTTCAGGTTCAAGCAATCCTCTTGCCTCAGCCTCCCAACTAGCTGGAACTACAGGCACCTGCCACAACACCTGGCTATTTTTTCTATTTTTAGTAGAGCCAGGGTCTAGATCCCGCTCAGGGTGGTCTCGAACTCCTTGGCCTCCCAGAGTGCTAGGATTACAGGAGTGAGCCACTGGCCTAAACTAACAATTTGATTACAAGGACACTAATAGTCCCTTGATGCTGCCATCACCATGATTAAACACATCCCTCACAAAAGCAGAGCAGGACGTCCACGCTGCACACACGTGGTCACTCTCCTAAGCACAGTATGGCCCATTGCATATGCACTGGCCTCTCGCTGCCTCATGAGCTACGTACGTTTTCCTTTAAGTCAAAATGTGGTTCTCCCTGATTACCATATCCAAAGTCAGTCTGCTGGCCTCAATCTATTTCACATTCTCTTCTAATGTTGGAGCTGCCACTCCATGAACAATAATTATCCCCTGCCTGGATGCCAGGGATCATTTCTCCTCTGGTTTGC